GTCTGCCACCCACCCATTCTCATTTCTAAAGCGATCTTTTAAAGACTAACCCAATCATTTAATCCCCTGCTTGAACGTTCCCTCCCCACAACCAAGCCTAGTTGTAGCCCTTGAATAAATTTTCTGAGGATCTTCATGTAAAATAGTTATTAGAACCCTCAACGCCATTCTTCTCTTTTATGACCCTTTTCCCAACTATAATTAATGTCACGTCTTCACTGCTAGATTGTAAGCCTGAGTGCAGCTTCAGTTTTGCTTTGTCATTCACACAGCCAACAATGTAACATAGTAAGGTAATGTGATTTTTTTAAATGACTTTTTACTGTCATTAGGAAGGCTACTCATAGCCACTAAATGTACTAGCAGTTCATTTGGTTCATCTGTTACTAAGGGGATTTTTCCTAACTTGGCAAATCCTTTATGTGAGCTTGCTATCCTGACTACTTACTTCTTAAGCCATTCAACAAGTCACTCTTAAATTTCCTCATCATCATTTCTTAACATTGAAAATTTTCACCAAACATGTTCTCAACATGGCTAACCTCTCCATTATCACTTATCCTCCTTCAGAGAACTACCTGGTTTAACAGCTCTATTCTGGCATCATATTTGCATATTACTTTATGGTTTATAATATGCTTTAATGTTTTGTTTGAGCCTTTTAATTCTGAAAGGTAGGTCTTAGTGCACCCATTTTACAAACAAAATGAAGTTCAGATAACTGCCTTACCTACTAAGTGGTTGAGTTTTCAGGAACTTGAATTTAGGTCTTTTGACCCTGAATCTCATGCATTGATTAACCACGCTCCCAAGTCAAATTTGCCTGACTGCCTTAAGTGCTCTTTTATTTCTAAAGGATTGCTACAGTGACTCAAACCTGTGAGCACCAAATTCCTTTAGAGCTTAGGGAAAACAGTTATCAAGTCTCATCAGAGACTGGGGTTAGCTCACTATAATCTGGTTCCTTCTTGCCATCTTATCTCTACTTTTCAAAACCAAACTCTTCTTTATTCAGGGTGGTATCCTCAAGTGTTCTATTTCACCTCTGTTCACAGTAGTTCCAGAAATTAAAAATGCCCTTCCTTCTAAAATCATTACTTTGAGTAATGGTAAATAAAGAGACCTTGATTCTAGTTCCAGCTCTGTGATCTTGGGAAGACACTCTTCAAAACTCACTTCCTTATCTGTAAAATAAAGAGGTATACTTAGAAGTTGGAATTTCCTTCTAGTTTAAAAACTGTAGTTATCAACAGGTCTATTTGATACCACTATATACATATTTTATTGGCTTAATTGGTAAATTTGAGAAAGCTTTGTATTCATGTACAAACATTATCATACAAGAAAGCCAAGGCATTGGGAATAGCATATTATAATCATAACTAAATTTAAGTCTCCCAGAATAATAGCTACATGGTCTAGGGTCACAGCTTTCTGTGAGTCCCAATTTCCTTAACTGTTTTTCCTTATCTATAACCCACTCTAAGGTCCTTACAAGTTTGTCCTGAAGATTAACATCAAAATGGAAAGTAATGTGAGAAAATTGTATACTTGTAAACAAAACCAGCCCTACACAAATATAAGTTGTTAGAAATTGTATTGGTTCTGGTGGCTGATAAAATATAATCAAAGAAAAATGCTTCCATAAAAGTTTTATTTTTCCCCACAACAACCCTGTGAGGTAGGGTGATAAGGGCATTTGAAGATGAGAAAACTAAATCTACATTACTTGTTCACGGCTATACTGCATAGTAAATAAGTAGAAATTAAATTGAAATTTTTAAATGTCCATGACTTTATATTGATTCACGTGGAAACAGGTAGAGAGAATATTAACTCCCCCCTACCTTAATGCCAAAAGGACACTGCCTTGAAAAATCCCATTTCAAAAGATGAAAGTAGTATTTCATTGCTTATTTCTAAAAAGATTTATAAAATAAAAAAATAGTGAAATATTTTACAGGTAATATATATAATGGTCTCATTCAGGGACATGTCCTTCAGCTGTGTATATGATCAACTATTCCAAGTCCTAGAAATGCAAAGTTTTAAAAAGGTATGAAAGACAAAAATGATAATGAGCAGTAGCCTCAATCTTCTTTATTATTCCTCCATGTATCTTGAATAAGTTCTGTGAAATCTGGTCCCACGTTTAAAAAAGAAACCCTACTACAAAGATATGTCTGGTAAACTTTTATTTTGTTGCCTAGTCTCAAAATGCTGTCACATTACTTAAAACTGATTTCCCAAACCTGGCTATCGAGAATCACTGGGAAAACTTTAAAAAAAAATACAGAGATCCATGCTAGAGCCAGTGAGACAATTTCCCAGAGGCAGGCCCCAGGAATCTGTATTTTAAAAGCTCCTCAGTGTAATTCTAATGCAGAGTCAGGGTTGGGAACCACTGACTTATCTTACTACTATCAAAACCATAAACTAACTAGAACAAATTTGTTGCTTTCATATCCCCCTTTTTAAAAGATCTCAAAATGTGTATCCCCAGAACTCTTGCCTCTGAACAAGTATTTCAATTCAAGATACAGAGAAACGTTTTATAAAAATGTATCCTAGTTAGTGAGACTTGGATTCCAATAATAATTTAAGTAGCATTTCAAGATAAGATACTGAGTTTTGTGGTTCCTATTCTGAAAATCTTAAATGTATGTAATATAGGTTCCTTGTAGGCTTTCAGTTTAGGGGAAGACATGAAAAGTAATGACATAAGCACATCAGCACTAAAAAAATACTATACTCAAATATAGCTCATGAGAGGAATAAAAAAGTGAATGAATGACAATCAAAGGCCTTTTGGCCCATACATTTTTGTTCCCAGTCCACTCTTCCCCTATAAGGGGAAATAAAATAAACATTCTTTCCTAGTTGCTTGGCATAGTTATTCAGTGGGTAACTATTAACTAAGTTAATTTAGATACACAAGATTTAAGAGAGATAACAAATAAATACCTAGGAAGACAAGGAGAAGTCAGGTCAGAAAACCTTAACTAGCTAATAATGTAGTATATAACACCATCATATTAGTACAATTATATGAAGGCTTCAGTGTCCTTTACATTTCAGCTTTATGTGATTGACACAGACGTGGAAGAGATCTGGTTCTTATGAAGAATTCTGTGCTCGCTGCAAAGATTTGTAGGTATAATGAAATGTTTTCTTCACTGATGAGATGAGTGTCTCTGTTTTTCAGGCAAGTTGACTGAACAGAACAATGAGAAACAAACTTCTTTAGAAGGTTGAATAAAAGTAATATCTAGCTGAAAAAGTCATTGGCCAAAGATACTTTTTTAAAAAAACCATTCTGTGTTAACCCTTAAAAAAAAAAACAGAAATATATATATAAAAAAAAAAATCAATGTACACATCCATTTCACTGACAGTTACAAGAAAATAGCCGTTTATAGAAGTTACATAATGCTTTCAACAAATCCCCAACAATTTTGGGGAAACAGATAAAGCCACTGGGTAAATAAATATACATACTAGCTAATATAAAACAATTTATGGTTACGAATTGTCATCAATTTTTTTAGGACCCAACGAGAAATATGATATAAATTTGATTAGGGCTACATATATTACATGGAATTAAAAAACACAACTGATTAAAACATCCTAACAATGATACAAATATTTAAAAGAATGTCTTAAAAGTCAGACATTTATCACTGGAAATAGCACAATTTTAATATGTACTTCAGAGTTTTAATGTGTATACAGGTCACTTTTGCTGTGTCTCATCAGGTATCGATCTCTCCTGCATTTACTACAGTCAGTTTTTTAAGAGTTCATGTTTCCTGTGTGAGCAGAAGGGGCTGGGCACATCTCAATTAAAAAAATATACACCTCCAATTAACCAAATGGAAGTGTTTAACATTTACCAACAGAGAAAGACAAGACGGGGGTAATGGGAAGATGAAACATTATATATTAAGATTGAAGGAAGCTGACTAAATTGTCTCTTTATAAATTATTTTAAATTTTTTATTAAATTTAAAATGACCCAAGTAAAGTAATGAAGAAACAAATATATTAATTTGGTCTCAAGAAACTTTCTCAGGCCATATAAAATTTCCCTTAGATTATGTCTTTACGGAAGCTTCTTATGCTTGATTCGTTTATCAGCTGACTTAAAGGACTCTCTCCTAGCATGGGACCGAAAACAACTCTTACCATTAATAAAAGACAATTTAAAAAATGATGTTTATTATTAAAGTGCCCACGGGCACAATGGTATAGGTGCTTACATTTCCCTTTAAATTATGGGAAAGCCCTTTGAAACTGTATTTACTTAGGAAAACTTTCAGCAATTGTAATGTGTGCTGAAAGTTCAGATCTTGTATAGGTTTTGGGTTTTGCTGTTTGAGCATAAAAAGGAGGGGAGCAGGGAGAAATTTAACTAGGTTCACAATTTTGAGCAAGAGCATATGTAAAGGTAACGTATGTACATTTTATTTCAAGAAAGACAGAAGACAAACAGCATAAAGATGCCCATATGCCCTAAAGATAAATACATTTCAAAGATTCTCATTAAAATGAATCTGTAGTATTTTTTCCTGCAAGCAAAATACCTTTCTTTAAATTAAAAAAAAAAAATCAGTATTCTGAATTGCAAATGCTTTTGCTTTTTTTGCAGAAAATCTGCCATGATTTTTTTTTAATGAATAAGGATTTTCCACAAAACAGGCTTGCTCTACATGCTAGATTTTTAAACATTTCAGTGACACAATATGCTAACTACATACACAACAGATAATATAGTAAGAAAACACTCAACCTGATGAAAAGTTAAAATCTTCATTAATACACTGAAAATTGACATAACTCATGCCTTTAAAATCAAAAATACAAAAATTAAATGTTTTCCTAAAAAGATTTCCTTATTTTAAGGATTCATTTGAAAATGAAGCTGCATGTAATTTGTACAGTAAGTTGTACAAGTAAACAGGTAATATACATAAAAAATTAATTGACATACTCCTCAATTATCAGTTGTCCACCTTTAATTTCCAATACTGTACTTTCTTAACAAGCATACAAAATATCAAACTTCTCTTTAGAAAAAGTGCTGTTCTTTGACATCCTTTACATAAAAACAGTCTGAGCCTGTGGCATGTTAATGCAGTTGAGAGGCAAAGCATACTAACTTTTACAAATTCTACCTTCCATAAAAAGCCTCTCAAAAAGGAGATTACACGCCACTATAAAAATATCAACCTCTTGTGGTAGCTGCATTAGAGAACCAAGGCTTGAAGACTATTTTCATATAGCATAGAAAAACCACTATGAGAGCATATTAACTGTATTGGTGGCTTGGGAGTGTACTGTGCCACAGGATTATGCATAGCTACTGTTATGTACCAAGCCTGTTACACAGAGTTTTAAATTGATTGTAACCGAGAGCATAACAGAGGTACTACCAGCCCATGCAAAATAACTAAAAATACTGAGTCACTGTGCTGAATACTTCATTCCTGGAGAAAACCAAAGGCAGCAGTAACTAAATCAAGCCCAACAGGTGACGAAACCCATTCTCCTCAAAGATTGGTGAGCACAGTGAAGTCTGAGGTATACCTTTATCCATTAAATCCGTGTGCCATTGCAAGATATTACCATTTGGGAATACACGCCATCACAATGGTTTAAATCTTTTGAATATTAGTCATTCATATATTCTTATCTACCCAGTCTCTTGATTTTTGTAAAGATTTCACCTACAGTAGAATATTACAGAAACAAAATATAAATGCATGTCTTCTAAATGAAACTTACATGGACTAAAATAGAGAATATTTTTAAACAAATATACAATATGCAGGCAGACAAAGCAGGAAAACGGCCATTCAAATGTATAATAAAAAACTAAAAATTGACTATTTCCAGAAAACTATGAAGCGCCTCAACTAAAAGGAATGCATAATGAAATTCTAATCTAATATAGGTCAAAAATGTAAAAAGGTTATAAACCTTAACAGGAAAAATAAAACAACTTTTACTGGCCATTCCTGTTGAAATGAGAATCGTAAAGTAACAGAAAAGTGGCTACAAACCCACTTAGAGCACCAAACAGAGAGAAAATAAAAGTCCATTTTCATCTCTGTTATTATCATAAAATCCTGTGTGACTACAGGTCAAACTGCTGGTGGCAGAAACAGAATTCTTTATAAACTGCAGATGTCCTGTACATAAAAAAATTTCACTGGAATTGCACTAGTTCTAAAGACTCTTCTGTTTTAGCCTACCTACTGTATGTATTCAATCTGAGATAGATAAAGTCTCTTTCTGTAACCCTTGATTATTAATTGGGCACCAAAGATAAGAAAAGCAAGACGGGGTACAAAAATGCAAAATTTCAACAGTAATGGCAATGTTTTTGTCTTAGTCCAAAAGGGTCCTCTCCCCCTTCAGTGATTTGACAAGTCTTTGTACTTAATCTGGGGGCAGCAAATCATGCAAGCGAAATCTGTCTCTGATGTGAGGTCGAACATCTTCATTCTGTGTGGAAAAAAAGACAATTTTTTGAAAGCCACATAATTTCAAAGATATCATAACATTATAAACATTCTTACTTTGCAGAGAAAATATACTATTTTACAATTAAAATTATATTATTGTTTGTCAAATATTGATATACTGCACAGACATAATTTACTCAGAATTAAATTTAGGTTAAAGAAAACTTTCATTAAAGTTTTAATTTTCTAAGAATAATGAAGCAATAAGAGGCCAAACAAAAAGATAGGTAAAAGGGTTAAGCCACTGAATTCTACTTTCTACATTAGTCTTTTTTTTTTTCTTTTTTTTTGAGACAGAGTCTCACTGTGTTGCCTGGGCTAGAGTGCCATGGCATCAGCCTAGCTCACAGCAACCTCAAACTCCTGGGCTCAAGCGATCCTCCTGCCTCAGCCTCCCGAGTAGCTGGGACCACAGGCATGCGCCACCATGCCCGGCTAATTTTTTCTATGTATTTTTAGTTGTCCAATTAATTTCTTTCTATTTTTAGTAGAGACGGGGTCTCGCTCTTGCTCAGGCTGGTTTCGAACTCTTGAGCTCAAACAATCTGCCCGCCTCGGCCTCCCAGAGAGCTAGGATTACAGGCGTGAGCCACCGCGCCCGGCCTACATTAGTCTTTAAAGTTGATTGATCCATGGATGTAAGAAAATAAATTTATAAGAGGAAGTCCACTGAAACAGTAAACATTCAACCTATAAATTTAATACTGAGATAAGCATAATTTTAATATATAAAGTTCAAAACTGCACTTAATGCTTTTTAACCTTTGCCCCAATCTCCCACCACAGTTGACTTTATTTTATTTTTTTTTAGAGAGATGGAGTCTGGCTGTGTTGCCTAGGCTGGCCTTGAACTCCTGAGCTTGTGATCCTCCCACCTCAGCCTCCTGAGTAGCTTGGACTACAGGTGTATGCAACCACACCTGGTTCATAGTTGACTTTAAATGTCAGTACTTATAAAATGAAGAAATTAAAAAGGAGATTTATTTCAATACAGGCGAGCTAACAAAAACACAATATGAAAAGATAAATATAAGATATACTTACCAGTTCTACAAGCTTCTCCAGAAATGGAATCAATTTTAGGAGTTCATTGTCATTTTTATCCATAAACCAGCTTTCTATAGGGATTCCATTAGAAAGCTAAAACGATAAATAAGTAATTAAATCCTCTTTTTACTTATATTTTTCCTAGTTTGGAAAAGCTTAAAAAGAAACAACAGATTTAAGTAAACACCACTCTAAAAGTTCCTTTCAAAAGGAATACCACCAGAGTTTTCATTGACAACTCAATAGTACAAGAGACAGATGTTAAATAACTTGACGCCTATTGGTTTTTCAGTGACATTTCTTCTCAGAGTGTATAAAACTAAACAACAAGAAAGTTCCATTAAAGCAAGTTTTGCAAGGGTCATTAACGTAATTTAAAACATTCCTTTATTCATTCAAGAAGTAATTAGTACAATGCTAGGCATTGTGAATGAAGGGATATTGCCAATCTAGAGAACAAGAGAAGAATACATATACTTTTTTTTTAAACACAGTGACCACTGTCCCATTCATTATTCTATTCCCAAAAAGCAGCATCATAACCTGAAACATAGCAGAAATGTAACAAACTGACTCAGTGGTATTTCACTGAAGAGTCTAAAAACAATGTTATATATGAGATAGAGGATAATTGAAATGATTTTATCTAGGAACCAAGATAAAATTCTTAAAAACATATTTTAAATGGCAAGCAAATAAAAGTAGGGACCTAAAATGAACACATTTCAACATTATATGCAGTTGTTCCCTTTTTTACTTTTTATTATGGATATTTTGACACTCAAAAGTTAAGGGCTAATCTTGTTTTTATTTATACTCTATCCACTTTCCATCATCCCTATTCTGCACTGATTTACTGTGAAGCAAAATCTCAGAAATCCTATCACATGGACATATTTGTAATGTAAAGTATATCTTGCAAGGATGGCTCTTTAGTTATAGTTATATTTCAAAGGAATGTTAACAAAAGGTACAAATAGATTGACATAATAGTCTAAGAAAATAATTCAGAATGTGAAATCAAATAAACAGACAATAACATTGTTAAGCTAATTATATGATTAAAATTACTGATTTAATAACTGATTAAGAATGCTATTAAATGACATATATCTTATAGTTCCTTCTTATTCGGATTCACTACTCAGATTTTTCTTCATTCATGTTGCATTTCATTTAAAAGAAAAATTTCCGCAAAGAATATACACTTTGGCATTTCTAATTCTAAACAATGACACACTAAATGGAAATTCCACCAGTGAAAATTCTCTTGTTCTTCTCTCATCATTTTCTGTTTGCCAGTATTTGTCTTCATTGTATTTTTTCCAATCTGAGTTTAACAACTTCTTCCTACCTGATATGCAAAGGCTTGTGGTGAGTTGTCAATTATTATAGTTTTTGAAAGATCTCTTCCAAGGATATTTAAGTCTTTTATATAGTTTCCTTGCACACACACACAATGTTCACGGAAAAGCCGGTGCCTAAACATAAAAATAAAAACAACAATCTCTTAAAAAAAAAATCTCTAAAAAGTACAACATACACTGAAATATATAACACATATATATACCATAGGCTTTACAGGTTAAGCCTTACTATTCTCTCTCTCTCAAAGGAAATTCAAATGCAAATGTGGGCCTAAGATTTGGGCTACCATTTTACTATAAAAATTCTTAGCAATTATTGAAACCTTACAACCAAATATTACTATGCCTTTTAAAGAACTTTGGTTTATCCCAAAATGTTATAATACTAAATTATAAAGGAGGATTAAAAACTCTAAATTGTTTTTGTAGTTTATTTACCCAGAAAAGCTCAGCTCAGATGCAGCATCTGGTTGTCAGCGAGGTCCTGCTTTTTAACCAATTTTCCAGATGGTTGACTGAGGCACAAGGAGGTCAAGTGACTTGCCCAAGGTCACACAGTAAGTCAGTGGTTAGCCCCGCATTGGAACCCAGGATCCTCCTGGCTCCCAGTCCTTTGCTCTAACCAGTAGACCACACAGCCTCCCTATCCCTGTACATGCCAGAATAGAAAATATAAGAAGGAATGTTTTTGTGTTGGCATTTTTAAAAGTGTTTTTTAGTTTTTCTTATAATTTTAGAGAAAAGGTGCTAAGGCCAAAACATTCCATCATTTCAACTTTTCCTAAATACCCCATTTTCTTTTAATTTAGTGTATGTGTATGATCATTTGAAAAGCATGAATGAAATGATGAATTCAGATTTAAATATTATAAATGTAAATGGATGTTTCATCAACTTTAGATACTAAATAGAAAAATGCTAAATCATTTTAGAAAGCTATGAAAGGTTTTACAATAATAGTTATATACTATAGTAATTATATAGTCTCAGTTTATAATCAAAATATTAGTCTCTGAATATTACTAATAATTGATAGATATATTGATGTTGTTCACTTTGAAATACTCCATTCTGTGCACATTAATAAGTTGGCAATTTGTCTTTTCCCACTAAACAACTTTTCAGGAGCTAGGGCCTACTTATATTTGTATTTTTAATTACATACTTTCAAGAAAGGGGTATTTTCTACCCACAAAATGTCACATTGCTACCAAAATTAAATAAATAAATAAAAACCCCCCCCTACACACACACAAGTACAATCTCAACCTTAAAAGTATCAGTGCCAGTGGTGATGGCAAGGAGGAAGAATTTTACAAACAGTTCTTTCCCCTCTTATCGTAATATAGGAATATTTTAATAATGATAGTCAAATGATCATCTGCCTCTGGAAGATTTAAGACAATCCTATTTTTTAAAAAAAGAAAGACTAGATAAAACAATTCAAGTCCTGGTTGGGCCTAAGTAAGATTCCATATTTTATTTCTATAAACATTTAGATATGAGGAAATTAGAGAGGCAGGTACAGCACATAATGCAAGTCACTGTTGATGCCTCTTTGTCAGCAGTCGCAAACTTGCTGAGACAAGAGACAACTGAATATGTATGTGGATACTATAGTTATTTTAATTAAATTACACTAAAAATCCTCCAGCCATTCAGGAATCTGAGGGTCCACCTGCATGTATTTGCAGTGTTAGGAAAAAAAGAGATGCCAGTCATCCAATAGCAGATCCTCCATGTCAACAAATTTGCATTTGAAACTCACAGAATTCAGAGATTATAGAATTTCTCAGAATCTACCTTGTCACCAACATAGATAATTCCCTAGTGTTCTAACAAATTCAATTTACTGTTCAAAAAGCTCTTATTTCAAGTTTTTCAAAATATAATTAGGTAAAACAAAATGAAACTCCCAAATATGTAATTTCATAAATCTAGTTTAAAAGAGAGGTATTAATAACACATTATAATAGCATGACTATTATTTGTTCCCCAGTAAAATGAAAGCTCCAAGAGGGAAGGGCTTGTTGCTCACCACTGTTCCCTGGAACACTGGAGTCATCAAAGCAAAATCATTTGTATACTTTTATTAAAGTTAGGTAAAATGAGCACAAATTACAATATACTTTTGTGAATAGAAAATACCATTTCTTATTTGTGTATCTGCAGCTTACTTATTTTGATCCTTTAGATTAAAAAATAAAAGACGTTACAATTCTATTTAGAAGGAAAAACACCTCTAAAATATGGACATTAGGAAAAGCTTTTCAGTGTAATTGCAACCACTCAATAATAAAGGTATTATTAACAGTATAAAATTAAGTTTAGGATTTCCCACTAAGACAATATGGGGAAAAGTATTCAAGGAAATTAATACCTAGCTATTAAAGCTTTTATGAGCCTTTTTGTGTCATCTCTCAGCTTTTGGTCAAAAACTCAAAAAACTAACTCCTACCTCTTAGAGGATACAGCAAGTCTGCTGCAGTCTTAATATGTCACTTCAGCTAATAGAAATAATGGAACTAATTTTCAAAATGTTTTAAAATCACCCAAAGAACTCCCACCTAACCAGGAACACAGTGCATCCGCTGACTCCAGGCACACACAAGGAACAGAATCCTGACTAAACCAACTGTAATTTCCAATGAGATTCATGTACCATTTCCTTTCCATGGAAGATAAATTTGCTCTTGAAAAAAAGCAAGAGTTTAATTTGATCCTTTCTGTGAAAAATTAACTTTATTTCTCTATGCCATTAAAAAGGTAATATAACATGCATTATCTTTGACACATAGGAAAGTGAAACATCATGCACATGGTGGAAAAATTCCACACAATTCCCCCACCCTCCATCTCCCCCCAATCCCAAAAGAAATGAGGATACAGATGTCACATTGAATAAAACACGTTTGATTTTTGTATCCTTTAAAGAACGTCTGTCTGGAGGTAAATCATTAGGAACTCTTAAAGAGTTTTGGGGCTTTAAAAAATTCATTTATTTTCACCATTCAACACAATTTAAATCTCTACATATGCAGCCAAATGAAAATGGCCATTAAAATTAAAAAGAATCAGTAACTTCATAGATCAGTGTGACAGACATTTCCACTATTTCTTAATTAAATTTACCTGACCAGTTGCTTTTTAGGGTCTAGTATGTTCAGTAACTTGTCTGCATACACCTTCTTAGAAGCAGTAAAAAGAATGATCTATAAATTCAGGGGAAAAGAAGTAATCATTATACATGATCTAAATATGGGTACTATATTGAATAAAATAAAAATACGTATGTAATTAGCTTAAGCCTGTTTACCTCATACATCTGAGACATTCGTTCCAGGAATTCCCTGAAGAATGGTCTTAATCTCACATAAACCTGAAGAAATACAAAGACAGGTTTCAGCAAATAAACATAAAATGAAAACCACTTATTTTAAAGATATCTTGTGATCTAACTTTGGACATATAATTAAAAGTTCATTTTTTAAAATAGAAATGTTTACTAAGTACCACTCAAACCAAACATATTTCACATATAAGAGATCACTTACAACAATCTTTTGGTAGGGTAATAATAATCATTGGTGATCATTTCACTTTTAATAGTTAAATAGCAGCATACAAGGTAACAGTACTTCATTGGAATAAAATTTTAATAAACATTTAAACTAAAAATGGAAGGTGTCCCTCTGAGATTCTGATCCACCAATCAACTTCATCTTCCAGCCAGGTAGCATCCATCCAATTATTAGGCAGGCTGAGTGTCCACCTCTAGCTGACCTGTCTCAATGACCTTCCTCAATAATTATTCAGGATTTCTTCTCAACAATCACCTGCTAAAAATATCTTTAAGTTTCTATTTAAGGTAAATAATATTCAAGGAGATGTCTGGATTAGTGGGTTTAAATAACCACAATTTTTCAGAAATCAATCTTGCTGTTCTACATTTAATGATTCAGATGTGGCATCTAATTTAGCATTACTGGGCTACTTAAGATTAAAAATATAATAAACACACCAGTTCTCAAAACCTGGCCAAAGTGTACCCAAAGAGCTGCCTTATATACATTATTTTCTTATTTCTGTGTCTTCTTGCCTATGTTTAATATAGCTCTTGTAATATACCTTAATATTCAACAAGCAGACATATGATCCATGACTATCCACTAAAATTGTATTTAAAAAGATGTCTTCAGGAAATTACAGAGAAATAAAAAAATCAAAAAAATTTTTAAATTTTGTACTCCACTCAAAGGTGACTATTAGCTTCAGATACCATGAGTAACAAATATTTATTGAACCAGATTCACTGGATTCATATTTTTTAAAAACATACCCTCCTTCCCCCCCAAAAAAACACACAAACCCCCCCCAAAAAACATACCCTCTGTGGTAGCAACAAATTCAAATCCAGGCTTAGTGGAGTTTAATTCTGGCATCCATACACCTGGCCCATGAAAATGCCCCTATAACAAAAATCTAGTTCTGGGAATGTTTGAGGGCAAAATGGGGATAGCATGCAAAGGATTCTTGGAGATAGGGACTATGTTTTACCAATCATTGTAATTTCCAAAGTCCAAAATATATAAGACAAATATATAGTAGGCACCTGATAAAAATCTGTTCAGTAAATGAAGTAGAATTGCCTAAAGTTAGGCAATGGAGATAAATAGAGAAAGAGAAGCAAGCCTACATGACTACACAAGTATAACTACTGAACTTCCTTAAGAACTGACTGCTTAAAGAAGACAAATTCTGAATGATTATTACTTTGCTAATACCATTTTGTCCCCATCTCTGGGCTGGATAAAGGTTTGGTTGTTTTTAATCCTATTAATCTTGGCTAATAAGAAACAAAGTAGGCTATATACCCCTCCTCCTAGCAAACAAAAATAACCAAATCCTTGTATCCAATCACCATCATTTAGGATGAGGTATAAAAAATTATAATTACTCTTCTAATCAATTTTAACATTTTCATCCTGACATTTAGTATAGTTTGTAGCCTTGGTTGAAAACCACACGCACCTTATTTGTTTGGTAAGCCAAATAATGATAGACTTTTGATGTACTAATATTACTATTTTACTGGCAAAATCACTTTTATTAACTATGGGTCTTTTCAAAACAGATTTGTGATAGTTAAGAAAAACCAATACTTTTTACAAATTACCTTATCTCAAAGTGGATGATAAACTATGAACTATCAAGAGCCTTTCGTTGTCAATGTTCAGCACTTGTATACATTTAATAACCAAAAATATTTCATTTTTGCACATGTATTTTTCATTTATTTTCAATATCCCTGTTATCACCTACTTCATATACAACTTGAGTATCCCTTATCCTAAATGCTTGGGACCAGAAGTGTTTCAGATTTTGGATTTTTTTTCAGATTTTGGAAAATCTGCACTATGCTGCTTGAGCATCCCTAATCCAAAGATCCGAAATCCAAAATTCTCCAATTGAGCATTTCCCTGGAGCATCATGTCAGCACTCAAAAAATTTCAGATTTTGGAGCATTTTGGATTTCAGATGGTTGGATTAGGGATACTCAACCTAAACTAAGATAAACAGGACCTCTTAATTTGAGATTCATTTCTTCTAACACAACACTGCACAGGAATGCTTCTATTTAAACCATACTTTCCATGCATAATAAACGGAACACTGTTAACAGGTAACATTTTCCAACCCCTTATACAGTGACTTCCAGATTAGGTCAAAACTGTAGCTTCATTATACATTCTACTACTTTGACTATATTTAAATATAACATACATCTTAAAATTTGACAGTGCTTTTAAAATGTGTTTGTTTACTAGGGATAAAAGGTGGCACTGAAGATGGAGGGATACCTTGCTAGAGTGTTTCTTTACCATGAGAACAGAAAGAATTGTTGACCGTAATAATTCCTATTCTCAGAACAGATTCACCATTTGAACAGGAAGGTGTTTCAGGATTAAAAAACATAGGCAGAGACTGAGGAAGTTAGTGAAAAAAATAATGTAGAAAGGTACAAAGTAACAATGAGCAGGTCTAGGGTTAGGGCCACATGAGGGTCTGTCAGGTGATACAAAGGCAAAATCTCAGAGCAGAAGTGAGACAGATATAAGGCCAGAAGTGTCACCATTTGGATATATTAATGGTAAGTGTGAACAGAATTATATACAAATCAAGAAGCACCAAGTATTGCCCAGTAGAAACAAAGAACATTTATCAGGTGCATATAACACAACGAGTTTAATTCTTGAGACTACCATTACTTATTGTGTCATCTCTATTAGGTCACAGAAATACAGACATACAGATGCACACAAAGACATGCTTCCAAATACTTCAAAATCTATTCCACAGATGCCATTAGTTCCATTTTTCTTCTACCTTTACTCTCATACGAAAATTCCTTTCCTGAGCTGCCTACTTCCCATTTTCTTCATTTCTTTTCTCTACTTACTATTTTACCAACCATCCTTCTTCAACTTGCAACACTTCAAAACTCCGTAGTCTCGCAAAGGCCAAAACCTTCATTTCAGTCTACAGGGTGAATGTAGCTAAATGTGCCTTTATTTACAAAATATTAGTTACAGAATTTTACAAAATTTTCCTTATGTATGGCAACTTTTGGGACACCCTGTTGTATACATATGTTCTTCCAAATCTACAGTAATTATTCTGTCTATGCTATAGTTTCAGTCTTCCTCAGTAAACCAAAAAATAAGTCAGAAGTTTAAAAATGATGCCTGATAACGAAAAACAATTATATAGAAATATTATACATGATGGACTACATCTCTACTGAAGATAGGGATTTATGAATGTTTTATATAAAACCTTTAAAATTTTATTAGGAATGATATCTGCAAAACTGATAACAAAGCTAATCTTGTACAATGTGTTGTGGGCTGATTTTACCAAAATTTAAATTTTATATAGAAAATTAAAGACCCCACTACATTAACACTACTTATGAATAATACCTGACAGCCTGCATTTTCTTTGGTATTAAAATAAGGAAAATTTCCTATAGTTGTATATCGATAGTACTAATAGGCCATTAATGGTTAACAGAACTAGATTTAATAAAAGTAGTCATTAAAATAGCATCTACTTATAAATTGATTATAAATATTGTGTGGTAAAGTCTAAATTGAAATTTCTATCTAATCATGCAATTTCAAGTTATACACTGAGTAATTTCTATTAGTTTATCAACCCTTAATTTAATATCACAGATTAAAGCCTTAATCTAATATCACAGATAATTTTAACAGCATGGAAAAAAAAACAAAAAAACAACAAAACCCCATCCAAAGAAAAGTAGTTTCAATTTGTGGTCAAGTGGCTAAGAAAACATTATCTTACATTTGTCTTTTTAGGAAAAGACTAAAAGACGTGTGTGTGTGTGTGTGTGTGTGTGTGTGTGTGTGTGTTTATTTTAAAAGACAGTGTCTTACTGCCCAGGCTGGAGTGCAGTGGTGCAATCATACCTCACTGAAGCCTGAAACTCTACAGCCTTGAACTCCTGGGCTCAAGTGATCCTCCTGCCTCAGCCTCCCCAGTAGCAGCTGGTACTACAGGCACGCACCACCAGACCCGGCTAATTGTTTCATTTTTTGTAGGGACGGAGACTTGCTATATTGCCTAGGCTGGTCTTGAACTCCTGGCCTCAAGTGAAGTGATCCTCTCACCGTAAGCCTCCCAAAGTTCTGGCATTATAGGCATGAGCCACCGCACCCAGCCTTACTGCTACATTATAGCAATAGGCTAAAAAATGATAAATTCAGTGGGATTCTTCGACTAAAGATCATGGCATGTTTTCCTTTAAACAAAATGATTTGTGACTATTATTTCTTATTTAATTAGCAGTAAGAATTACAGCAGTAGAAAACTAACAATGTTGGGGGGAATACAAAGAATGAGATAATACAATTAACTGAAAAATCTCACCATTAGTAGATACCACATGAATACAAGTGGCTCTGCCAATTTTTTTCACCCTTCTGTACACCTCAGTTTCCCCATCTATAAAATGGATGTAATAACAGTACCTACTCATAGGTTGTCTTAAGGATTAAAGAAGTTAAAATATGTAAAGCACCTAGAATGGTGCTTTGCACATTTAAAGTATCCACAGCTGTTAGCTATGATTATTATTATTTGCCTCATTATTTCAAAATAATGAGTCATAATAGCTGGAATCAGTATGATTCTATGGGGCAGAACTAGGTAACCTCAATTCCCAAGACAAAACTCTACAGCTAAAATCTATACTTTTGGAAGAAGGACAGTAATAAACTGTTGTCAGTTAATAGTTTAACTATTTAACTTAGTTAACATTTTCTTCGCATTCATACATGAGCAGAGACAAAACCC